TGGAAAAATGACCTTGTCTAACATAAATAGCTCAAAGAACAAAATTCTAGGTGATCCCATGTGAAAAAAATAGCAGACAAGTAGCATTTCATCACAAGGAACAGGTTCTTTATGTCTGAAATTACCAAAGTGCTTATTTTCTATGGTAATGTTTTTTCTAGAATTTGATTTTTGGTAATAAAATTTACCATTTTTTGTTTCCCAGAGAACATGAACAGTATCTGACATCACATAAGCCTGCTTGTTCAGTAGTTTTCCTGAGCACATATTGAAGTGCTTTCTTTTAATAAGGCCTTGTCTTGAAAAGAATTATACTTTTTACACTTCTCTTCACTGTAATTAGTAACAAAATTCATTTCACTTCAGTGAAATTTTGTTAAATTAAGTTCATAGAAAAATCTTCATAGGCTTTGCTTAATAGAAATTTTTCCTTCTTGTGGATTTTTCCAACAGAATTCAGTGGGGACATGAAATTAGTGATTTAAATGCTGACAAAAAAAATTCAATAGAAACTATCCACCACACCAACAGAATTTATGAGAGTTTTGTAACTCTTCCTTTTACTCTTCTATCTATTCCATTTGAATATTCTTAATAGATACGGAGCTGTATTCCCATTCCAATTGCATGTATCAGATATTGCAAGGTTTCCCCAAAGAGGATGTTTCCCTATATGTACATTCATCAAAGAAGAGACTGAACCACTTGCATTGCTCTTGCTGTAAGAGCCTCTATGAGCCATGACAGTCTCCCTATAGCCACGTTGCCTGTAGGAGTTGTCTCCTTGGCCTGCAGCGACGGCCACTGGATTTCAGGAGGCATGGTCAGACCTTCATTCTTCTAGACTCACAAACACTGGAGGTCTGCTCCAGTCCTAGGCTACAGAGTTGCTAAGGCTGGTGCTGCTGGGAGGGAGAATCACAGCACCTTTGGCCATGGCTCTGGGATTCTCTCACTGGGGCTATTGCTGGAGTATAGGAAGAGGCAGTAAGGCGAAGTGTGAGGAGGTGCTGAGCAGGCCATGACTGCAGAGATTTGCAGACTCCCTTTACCATCTGTTCCCTTCCTCCCTGTCCACCATAGTCCTTACTACCAGCATCTGATCTCTCAACACCTCAGTCTCCAGTGCTGGAGCTTTGAATGGTGATGCCAAAACACCACTTCTTGGCCTCCAAACGTTCCATCACCCTCCCTGCGCACAGCCAGACTCTTCAGTTGTGTAGGTAACAGCCTCTGCTATTTTAATTCAACTAAATGACTTCACTGCAGGCACCCAGGATCCTAATGCTCCTCTGTCAAGTATTCCTCAGTCTTGGTACACAACAGCAATCTGTATCATGGACTGTTTCTCCTCACACATGGAAGAAAACTGACATATACACAAAAAGAAAGATGTTCCTTTCTCTTTTCTCCCTTATGCTTGCCTGGAGCTGTGTGCTCTCTGAGGATTTCAGACAAGGAAAGTTGCTTTCCGTCTGTGTGGGTTTCTTATGCCTGTCCATGCTGGACACGTGCACTGTGTTAGTTACATCTCTTTGAAGGGCTCTTTGGCACAGAAATTCTGGACAATGAGGCATTGGTAACACTAAATTGGTAACACTAACTTGAAGTTTGCACCTTTAAAACCAGAAGTTTGCACCAAAGAAGCTGCAAGAATATAGAGTATATTTTCTTTTTTTAAAATAATAGAGAGGAGTTTCTCCTCACACAGAGTACAGGGTGGGGAAAAGGAGGGTGTTTAAGTGCCAGGTGACAATGTCCATCACACTGCTCAGTGATGAAGCTATGAAGACAAAAATAGACAAAGTGACCTCATGGCTTTCAGCAGCAATGCCTATGAGACAAAAGAGAGGCTTTAAAAGGCTTGTGGAACTGATAGGAAAGGGCTTGGACATCTCAGAGTTTTGGTTCTACTCCAGCAGGGAACTGCTTTGCTCCTCTCTCATTGCCTCTCTCTCTGTTTATGGGGAGTTGTGAACTAAACGGGCTTTGTGACATGCCCAGCTCTCCAGGTTTGGACTCTGCCTTCTCAAGCTTGGATCAGCCTTATGCAGGTACAAATGTCTGTACTTTTCTGATTTCTTTTCTTTTCTTTTCTTTTCTTTTCTTTTCTTTTCTTTTCTTTTCTTTT